TACGTTCGCGGGCCCGGTTGACGGTTTTTGCCGGACGCGCCTGGGCGCTCCATTCCCGATACTATTATACGTGCTCCGATAATTAAGACGTTTCCATTTGGAGTTGACGTTCGATGACGTGCGTGCGTGCGTTCGTGCGTGCGTGCGTGCGTGCGCGTGCACGCGCGCGATGCGGCAATCCGGATGGGGACGTCGCGTTTCGGCGACGGCGTACCGGAAAAAAGCTAATCGTTATGCATCGTGTCAGTAATTAATGGTATATGATCGAGGATCGCGTTCCTAGAAGGAGAGCGGGATCAGCATAGGCAAAAAGCGCGAATACCGCGCGCGCGCGGAGCGAGATTTATCGACATCCGATGAGAATCGGGGAGAATCGTTGACCATTTTTAGACGTCCCGCGTAATTGGACATGGGGACGTTCACGGGTTAACGTCAAAATAATCAGGCGTAGTTTGGAACGAATTAAAAGTTTTCCGGTCTGCCCCTCGTGAATCTGCAATTTATTATTCAGCGAGCGAAATATCAGCTGTGTTATTAGCAATTTGCAGATTTGAGCAGAATATCGGCGACAGGGATCTGTATTAAAATCCTATTTTGCCAAACTAGAATCTGTTGGCATATATTTCTTTAATTTCAGTTCAATTTATTTTTTTTTTAATTTTTTTTTTAGTTTTAAAAATTGGAAAAAGATAAGGAATAAATAAAGTTAAGATTGAAATTAATAATCTACATTTGAAAAATGAACAATAATCTGATATATCATTTTAACATTATTTTGATATTTATACGATTTTTCGTTTTACTTACGTAGAAACAATTATTTTGTATTCAAATGATAGTTTTTGCTTCATTTATCACTGTATTTTATTTATAAATTCTGTTATATTTCTGCTGATATTTTAGCGAAAAGAAATTAACAGGCACTTTGCAAATTTTATTTTTGATATAAAGTAATTAAAAATGTGAAGTCGTATCGGGAACGAACATGGAATGTATAGATAATAGAGGTGATAACGAGCGATGAAAGAAAAAATCAAAATGGGTTGCAATCCACCTGATGATTCGGAGCGTTTGATCGACCAATCGAAAGATACTTCAAAACATTCGTAGCGTTCGTCGCACCTATGATTCGTCAAGAACGCACCAATCTCAGAAAGCCTGCGGACCGTCGGCGCTACCTTCAATTTTAAAACGCGAATCAAATTCTGTTTCAGAGTCCGTTCTCTAATCTTGTTGCCGTTAGCAATGACGAAAGACGTAGACGGACGAGCGGCGCTCGACGTTCGGATGAATTTCGGTTAAAGACTCTGGTTAGATCCGGTGAATGTCGTGCTTACGCGCGTCTCACGGTGCTTAGCATGTAACGCGAGAACGAAAATGACGATCGCGTGGTGCGTGATGCCGATGGATACCGCGGAAACGCACGGCTCCAGATTGCCATCCACGCTGCCATCTTGAATCAGCTGTCAAGCAGACGATACGCAGGTATGAAGGCACATTTCCGATCGACAGAGGTTCGATATCTGATTATCGTAATTCCGTCGGCGATTCGAACGGGAAAACGATTTCATCGAAATGTATTTTTTTTTTTTGTTACGCTTCTTCCTGAAGAGCGCGCTTGCTAAACATCGTTAAATAAAACGTAATACGATAGTTTTAAGGAGTATAGTTATTTACAGTTGTTATATGATTTTAGCGTTTAGCGCATTATTTGATTTCCGGAGGGACATGGAAATATCTGAAGGCGATGTACAAATAAGAAATCGGCCGACAGACTTGATCTCAGCTTACGACGAGCAGAAGAATGATGAGTCCGAAGCTGATCTTAATGAAGTCGAGATAATCACGTCGGCGCAACATTTTTGCGCGATCGAAATCAAAGAGACTAACGGTTACAATGAAGAGACGATTGACAAAGATCAGAATGAAGTGAATGAATCAAACACTTCGGAATCCACTTTAGGGAACATACAGCATAGCGCTGAAAGCGGCGCTATCGCCAATGTACTAGCAGATCCGATTTACCTGGACACTCTGGACTCGGATTCCATAAATATTGAGTTTCAGAAACAGTCGAACACGACGGAGGTGTTTATTCGGAACGACGAACAAATACAAACGACCAATTACAATATATCGACAGTGACAATACCAAATGAATTTTTGGATGGACTTAATATTAATATAAAGAAGGAAGATGACGAAGATCACGGCACGTTATACACCGCGGAATGGTTGTGCGATGGCAATAACGACGCTAATATACGACTAAGAATTTTGAAAGATGCCAAGCAGAATATACAAATTCCTGTTAATGTCGATACTAGTGTAATCGCTGTAGCAAAACGTAAGTTAACAGACGGTAAAGATATCCATCTCGAACAAGAAAAGGCTAAGATATCCAGAAGATCAAAGAAACACGTTAGGCTAAAGTCTGCTGTGCATCAGGATTACAGAGAAAGATTGAGGAAGAAAGCTGAGTGTATGAGAGAGAAACGAAAAAAGCTGTACGAGCAGGAGAGTGAGGAGCAGCGTTTGCAGAGGTTGGCGAAGGAAGCGGCGAAGAGACGCGAAATGAGAATGTATTACGAGACACCGGAACAACGGAGGAAACGACTAGATGCTGAAGCAGCGAGAAAGAGGGAATATAGGATGTACAATGAGACGCCGGAGGATAGGAGAAAGAGGTTGGATCGCGAGGCTGAGAGAAGAAGAATTAAACGATTATCGTTATATGCAAGTGAAACGCCAGAACAGAGAAGGGAAAGACTGAACAAAGAGTCGGCAAAGAGGCGAGAAGCCCGATTGAATCAGTACGCTAAAGAAACAGAAGAGGAAAGGAAGGAGAGATTGCGAAGGGATGCTCTCAGAGCCAGAGAAATGAGGTTCACGAGATCTGCGATCGAGACGGAAGAGGAACGTAGGCAAAGGTTAGTAAAGGATGCCCTTAGAAAGAGGGAGGTAAGGATGCATGGGGGCCATACGGTGAACAATAATTTTACGGAACTCCGAACCGTTCGGAATTTTCAAGAATTGAACGATGTGCAGATAAGGGACAATCCTGAAAATCAATTGGACGGCCATTATCTGAGCAACTGGATGATGTGGTTTCAAAATACATTGACACAACCAGTTCATGATGGGGAACAGGTCGCAGAGCCGCAAGCGCAACATAATAGATAACTTATGTTTTCCGTTATGAGCGTATCTCTAGGTCCTTCCGTACGTGAAACGTATTAGAGATCAATTTGGATATGCTTTATATATACTTCCCATACAATTTTCATATGTGAAGCGACAAAAACTATAACGGCACAATTATCATTATGCCAATTATTATTCACAACACTACGAAACTTACGATAGCAATAGCAGAAGAATTATATAAATTCACGTTAGAAGAAATAATATTTTATAATATTTGTAAACGCTGAATGCGAGCATGACTACACTGTTACGATAAAAAGGGAAACCATATAACTTGTTTACATTACCAAATGTCGATGGCAGATAAAGTACGTAGAAAAATCGAACATTTTCCAATGTTACTTGTAATGGTTAACTGTGCGATGATTATTAAATATCTAAAAAAATTATTCTACTCTCGTAAAAGATACGAGATATAGCTTGAAGTAATGCAGCGATTACTCTTTGATATTAGATTTAAGTGTGTAAATAAATTTTACTGGTATGTTGATGAAAGAATGGGAGTTGTACATTGAAAAACAAACAAGAGAAGCAATTCTTGCCAGTGCCTTTTATTCAATGTTCAACAAAATATAAGCGACTAGATTCATCGATAAAAATGGCATTTGAACATGAGTGAATGATTCTGGTGAAAGTTTGACTGTCTCTTGTGCTATCTGTATATATAGTTATTATGTACTTCTTTCTACAGTTCCTTTGTAATAAATAAAATAATAAATTGTGTTATAACGCGACGTTCCACTTTTTTTGTAAATACTTAATTTCTAAAAAATTTTAATTCAATTTTTTAACGCATAAAATGCTTGATATAATTTAATGATTTAATTTTTCTTTAAATATGTGTATATAATAGGCAGTATATATAAGAATGATGTATGATACATGATCTTTCTATAAAAGCTTGAATTACATTAAATATTATTATATACTTCATAACTCCTGATAATATATTTTACATCATATATAAATTTTATTTAAGTAACAAAATATTGCTGATATTCAAAAAATAACACAATCAACTATACTTTTCTATAAAGGGATTAATAATAGCTGCCGTCTCTTTTGCATGCGTGAGATGAGGATGATGCGTTGCTGAAAAAGATTCAAAATATATTTTATCGTTAGTGGCTTTCATTGCTTCCAATGCTGCGTAAAAGTTTTCTTTATCCTCGGCATAAAACTTAATATCTCCTTTTATTATTAAATACGGGCATGTTATGAGTTTCGCACATTCCTCTAAATGAACCTGTGAAAACATACTATGGATTGATATAACACGTATTCTGGGATCTCTGGTGAAAACATATATTCCATCTTCCTTCTGTCTGGTACCTCTAGCCATAAGAATTTCATTTGACAATTTATCTATATTTCTGGATTCTCCTTTTTTCATAATTTCACTTTGCGTATAACTAGGTTGCATATTACTTTCTTCTATCTTGAAAAATGCATCAACTGCATTTCTAAACATGGGAATATATGTGCTTGCAGTTATATCTGGGAATTTGAGGAGATCTAAAGCTACAACGTACTGCATCTCGTTTGGGAAAGTCGCAGCATACCAATACATAGTCGCAGCGCTCACGGAATGTGCCATTACTTTTATTTTTTCCCATCCATAATACTTTTTAATTCTTTTAACTAATAGAAAGTATACCAATTCGGAATACATAAATCCTGGTGGTAACCATGAAGATAATCCATGTCCAGGTAAATCTATTGCCAAGATCGATTCATTTTTTATAAGAGGTGCTATACTATCAAATGATGCAGCATTATCTTGCCAGCCATGCATAGCCAAAATGGGTTGCTTATCTTTTAATCCCCATAATTTCCCTTAAAAAAAAATAAATATATCAATTAGCTACAAATAATATGCTAGTTTATACAAGAACATACCAGCTATTTTGCCCCAAGGTACTGGAATTTCTATCTCACATGGATGTACAGATGATGGTTTACTATAAAATGCCTTGAATAACTTTGCACTTGATTTTATTTTTAAGCCACGAGTTACAAATCCCTGTGTAAACATTGCACTAAATGTAATTCTATTACAGAATGTATCAAAATTTTGTTACAACCTTTGTGACAGTACCGATGTAATATGCTATATGAATTTGAAATATATTACTTGCTTCCTTTTAAAGACGCTTTGAATCTATAAAGTATAAAAATATGATAAACAAAGTCCAAAGGTGAAATATAAGTCAAATGTGAGATACAACAGGTATTTATAACTAAATGGTTTGCAAACTTGTTATAAATGAACATCTCGAATATCCATTGCAATTTTACTTGCAAAAATACGCACGTGCATGCGCATATTTACAAATGACGTATTGTATGTAAATATCTTAATATCGAAATTCACTGCTAGTACTGAAGATCTATAATATACGTGACCTGAATTATATATTTTCAGTACTGACAGTAAATATCGAAACACATCCAATCTTATCTATCTTAATATCTTAATACCTTAATATCTTAATACCTTAATATCCTAATGACTTAATGATATTAATATCTTATATGTAATTAATAGTGATGACAGCCAACGGGATATTGATTAAAGGCCATTGATCCCAAATAAACTTTTTATCACTAGTGAGGCCTCGAAGGTTATCGAACAATAATACATTCCTGGAATGCTCCAGGAATTAAAAATATTTACTAAATATAAATGCTTACATTTATGAAACATATTTATAAATACATATTTATATTTATATTTATAAACATGAAATGATTTATATAATTCTATTTCTTTTATGTGTTTTTTAAAATATTAATTTTCAACCGTTTTCCATCTCTTAAAACAAACGTTCGTATCCTTGCGGCGAACTCAGATACTACAGCTTTCGATTGTAGTGATTGTATTTCCTGCATTTGCCTCTTCTTTTTAGAATGCTCACATTCCATATCCATCCCGTTCTAAGTGCAGAAAGTGCACTATAACGTTTCGCTTTCGAAACGATCAAAACCTACTGTAAATCGCAAAATATTAAACGCAACGAATTAATTAGAATACTTATTTTATAGGATAATTTTCTACTATTAGTTTTATACATATTTCCTGTTCTTTTTTATAAGAACCTTTTACGATATTTCTTATTAAAAAAAAATATGTAAAAGGATAGGAGTCTTGTGTCCACGATTCTAAAAATCGATTCAAGATCTCGAACGAAAAGAGAACTGTCCATTGGTCAATTATCTAAATTATTCAAATGCAATTGGTCAATTCGTTCTCCGTTCGAGATCTCGAATTTATTTGAGGCCATAGCATCCGTTAGTGTTTGTTTTATTGCGTATGCGCGAGTTTTTCCACAGCGAGTTGTTGCTAATCTCTGCATACAGTCTGTGGGCATAAGCACATGTGTTTGTAACCTTAAATTTTTAATTGTGTATAATTTATTAGTCCATTACATGCTGATTGCGCTGCGGCAGTACTTCTTGAAAAAAAAAAGAAGTAAATTAAAATTAAAGTTAATACATATCTTTAGAAATGAACATACCATCACCTAACAGAAACTTCTGAGAAAGATAAAATATATAAGCTGCGTTCAGGGAGTGTGCTACTAGTACTATCTCATCATTCTATCTTTAATTTACATTTAATGAACGATAAAAATGATATGATGTGATAGTGTTAATAGTGCACTCTCCGAACACAGCCATAATTTAGTTTTAATTATCATATTAATATTAATTTTAACAAAAGAATATTAGTTTGAATTAACCTTTCAATACATGGCAGATATAGCTTTTATTATTACAAGTTCTTTGTATGTGTGAAATATACCATTGTATTTTGACTATTTTCTTCAGACTGTAGATAAATTTACATAGAAGATGGGTTTGACCAAACAGTATCTAAAATACGTGCCGGCAGGCAATGCAAACATAATCGCAAGTCCCCGATGCAATGTTGTCTTTATTAAGTTGGATGGTCAAGAAGGAAGATTTGTAGCTACTGCTGCATGTGAGCATGTATATATCTGGGATATGCGTCTAGGAGAAAAGGTTAGTCAAAGGGAAGAAAGTTGAAATTTAATATAAAGGTGATTTCTCATGATATATTTTATGATTGTAATATGACTTTAGGCACTAGTATTATCTGGAGAAAGGATATGTGTAACACGTCTGGCTGCATCGCCCAATAAAAGACATATTGCGGTAGGTTACGCAGATGGCTCAGTAAAAATCTTTGACTTAAGCAATGGTGAAAATATTAGTGTATTTGTGGGACACAAGTCTGAGATAACAGCATTGGCATATGATACATTAGGACATAGATTAGCCACTGGTTCCAAGGTAAGAGTATCATTAAATTGTTATTATCATTAAAGGAAAAAAATATGATTTTGGCTTTAAATAACTAGATTTCAAGTCCATTAAAAATAATGGAATGTGGTTGGCAGCAAAAAGCAATTATTCTTTAATTTATATAAATTTAGAAGTAAAAAATTATATTAGGCATTAAAAATCCTGCTTTAAGTGATATTTATATTTAATTCTTGCAATTTCTTTATGTAACACAGGATACAGATATTATAGTCTGGGATGTTGTGGCAGAAACTGGAATATGCAGATTAAGTGGACACAAAGGTGTCATAACTAAATTAGTGTTCATGAAGGAACATAACATTATTATCAGTGCTAGTAAAGACACGTTTGTGAAATTTTGGGACCTAGATACAGAACACAATTTTAAAACCCTTATTGGGCATAGATCAGAAGTATTTATACTTATATATACTTTTTATATTCTGAATTTTATATTTTTATATTCTGAATAATCATAGAGAGTATTTATTTGATATACAGGTTTGGAGTCTTGTCTTAATGAACAATGATCGATATATAATAACAGGTTGCAATGATGCAGAATTACGTGTTTGGAAAATAACTTTTATTGATAATAAGAATATTGAATTTGATACTGCTATAGGTACCTCAGATGTTAATGATGAAAATGAAGAAAGTATAGATACAGATATGGTATGCATTTATATTTATATATAAACATTGAATTTATAGTTTGCGATTTATATCCATACAATTATAATAAGATATGTATATACACATAATATGAGTATATATATTTTTACAGAAATATCCTATAAAATGCGAGAGAATTGGAGGCATCTTAAGAAATGCAAGTGGTCGAGTTGTTTCATTAGAAGTTGACCCCACATGTAAAGTTCTTGGCTGTCACGGAGTAGGAAATTCTATAGAATTATTTTATTTTCTACCTGACGATACAGTGAAAACTAGATTTGCAAAAAGATTGAAGAAACAAAGACGAAAAGCTCAGCAGTGAGTATAAATTTTTCATAGAAAATATTTTAAGTTTCTTTAAAAAATGTAAGATTTAAATACGTATTTCTTTATTGAATGGATAGGAAAAAAAATGATGCAGGGAAAGAACTATCAAGTGCACCATCCCTAATAGATGAGATAAAACGTTTACCTATCATTCATCTGTCCAATAAAGCAAAAGGACTCGATTTAATCATAGGCAAAGAAAACGAACTCAGAGTTAGTACAGCGTAATATACATTTGAAATTATTTAAGATTTATGTTATATCTTATTTTATTTCTTTTGTGCAGTTATGTGTCGGAATTAATAACAATTCGATCGAATTGCATTCTATATATATGGGGGATAAGGATCCTGAAATAAAATGTTTGCGTTCAATAACAGCACATGGACATCGTACTGATGTCCGAGCTCTCTGTTTTAGCTCTGACAATTTGGCGTTTGCTACTGTTAGCGGAGATTCTGTAAAGTTATGGAATAGGTGCAGTACCTCATAAATACACATTTTTAATATTTTTAAATTTTTAAATAATAATGATATAGATTGATTAACAAATATTCTTGTTTTTAGGCCAACATTAGCATGTTTACGTACAGTGCAATGTGGTTATGCTTTGACAGTAACATTCGTGCCTGGCGACAGACATCTGATCGTAGGTTTAAAAGATGGAAAAATGCTTATTATTGACATTGCATCTGGCGATATTTTGGAAGAAGTGTCGGCTCATTCTAAAGAACTTTGGAGCGTAACATTATTTCCTGATTTGGTAATATTTCGCAAAAAAAATATTTTAACTCATTAATTGAAAATTAATATATAATGTATCATTGCAAACAGAAAGGAGTTGCCAGCGGTAGTAGTGATCAAACGGTCAAATTTTGGAATTTTGAACTTATTCAAGATCCAGATAATCAGATAAGAGCGAAAGTTTTATCAGTCTTGCACGTAAGGACATTGAAGCTTGAAGAAAGCGTATTGTGCGTAAGAATAAGCCCGAATAATAGATTTGTGGCTGTTTCTTTGTTGGACTCTACCATTAAAATTTTCTTCTTGGATACATTTAAGGTACTATAATTATTTAAAACGTATGTAATTTAATAATTTATAAAATTATAATTTAAATTATAAAATTAAAATAGGATTATTATTAAAGAATTATTTATTTTATTTTTTTATTTTATTGGTTTTTATTATAGTTTTTTGTGTCGCTTTACGGACATAAGTTACCAGCATTATGCATGGATATATCCAGCGACTCCACGCTTATAGCAACTGGTTCGGCCGATCGCAACATCAAGATCTGGGGTCTGGATTTCGGCGATTGCCACAAATCTATATTTGCACACGACGATTCTGTCACGGGTCTCTCGTTTGTGCCTGGAACTCATTATTTCTTTTCCTCGGGAAAAGATGGCAAGGTTAAACAATGGGATGCCGATATATATCAAAAAATTATCACTTTACAAGTAATATATTTTATTAAATTATTTATTATTGATGCTGTATATCAACAGCTCTATTACACATGATCCTTGTAGGGTCATGCTGGAGAAAGTTGGAATTGCTGTGTTTCGTCAAATGGGGCTTACGTCGCATCGTGCGGTTCCGATAAAGTAATTAGGTTGTATGAAAAGACTAGCGAAGTTTTGGTATTACAAGATGAAGCGGAAGAAGAAAGGGAGCAACAAGAAAACGAATTAGTTACCGGAGAAAGTACTGCGGTATTAGGACAAAAGCAACAAGCATTACCTTCTAGAAAGACTGTTACCAGTGAAAAAGCTGTAAGTTAGATCATTAAAATTTATTATATATTGTATAAAAATATTCTTTTACGATGCCTTTTTTATTTTAGGCTGAATTGATATTGGAATGTTTGGAAATATCGAATCAATATGAAATGGAATTGAGTAAAGGGACTGAACAAGCACCGCCTCTTCCTCTGTTGATGCAGGCTTACAATTGCACAAGCACGGAAGAATTTTTATTGGAAACTTTTAAACGAATTAGAGCAAGGTAAAATGCAATGAATATAGCAATGATATTAGGAGAGAGAAAATATTGTGGAATATTGTATATTACAGTGAATTGGAAGAAACATTGTTATTATTGCCATATTCAGCCGCCTGTGACATTCTTCAAAGACTCCCTAGCTTGTTGAAAAACAATTATCACTCTGAGTTGTTAGCCAGATTGGCTTTATGCTTAGTACAAGCACATCATGGTCCAATAGTGGCCAATCAAAATCTTTTGTCCACATTGGAAATTGTGAAGAAACTCACTATAAAAAAGATATCTTCTTTAAGAGTAATGAAAATTTATGTTATTTATGTGAATGTGTATTATTATTATTTATTTGATGAATTAATTAAATATTTTCCAGGATATCGTCGGCTTTAATTTACATGGTATGATGTACATGCAACGCGTTCTCGAGGAACGGGAAGGAATCAAATTCTTTAGAGATGCCACTAAGAATGTCGAACACAAGAAGAAAATAAAAAGAAACAAGGAAAAAGCTATAAAGAGAGCAGTTATGAATTTGTAGAATTTATTAAGATGAAAAACTTTGTACATATATATGTCTCACAGATCTTATTTTATTCTATTATGTATATACATGAAGTAATAAAATGCTTTTTAATTAAGAAATTTTATGAAAATTGATATTTATTGCAATAAAAAAGATTCATATAAAATCAAGTCAACTTTATTGAGAAAGAGTTAAATGACCCACCTAATGTGTATATGTGTAGTATACATGTATATATGTATATCTGTAATGTTGCGACATAACCTCAGCATGGCCCGATGTTTATCCACGTTGCTGCAAACGGAACTAAAGGATGGATCACGAGGACGAGTTCCTTAACATTTTCTTCACACAGGTCGCTCAATTATGCTCCGATAAGGCGAAGGAGACAGTCGTATGTGGACTAGATTTGAAATTATTTATGTAAATGCAATTATTGTGTTTACTATGTAAAAATATGAATTCGATAATTTAGGAAAAAGAAAGAGAATCATGCAAACAGACGCAGATGGGTCCATGGGGAATGCTTCTGATGCATTTACCGCAGATAGCTGTGGCAGAGCGTTCTTATGCAGATTTAGGTTTTCTCCACACTAAAAATAAAGGTTTTCTTAGGAAGGATGTATGTTTAACAAAGTTTATAAAAGTTGTTTCAATCAACAATTGCTTGGATAAAATTTTTTTATATTAATATTATTTACAGAATTCTTTAAAGACTGTCTACGAATCATTGAAGTCTGACTTGAAAAGATTAGAGGAAATGACCAAGGGTACAAATTCCATTGGCACGACAGTAGCAAATGTTTCCTATCAGCTTTGTCAATTCATCACGGCAAGAATCCAGCTGATAGATTTGTCAGTATATTAATATTTTGATCTTTCGTCTCTATTCTTATGTTTGTAATTCTTGTATTACAGCTATGAGAGAATGTACAATATGAGTATAAATACCAAAGTTATGAAACATCAAGAATTGTTACAATGTATAGAAGGAATAGTAAGATATCATTCGTTATCTTGTTCTCATTTGGTATTAATTGCTATCAAGACAAGTTTAACGTATGTATATTTTTTTATATCTTTTAAATTTAAAATGTAAATTTTAACGTGTGTATAAAAACTAATATCTGTGTTTTATCATGCAGATTAGAATGTGAAATACTGGTACAGTTGATGAAAGCACAGGTGGAAGTTCAAAACTGGAGGTTTTTGTCAACTCTAATGGCACTATATGGAGCGCAAACACGAATGTCAGCTTGGGAAAGAACTCTACAAAGCAAGGAGGTCAGCAATATGTAAATAAAAACATGGAAAAGCAGTTTATTCAGTGTTATAACTTGAGATTCTTTAGTCCTGGAAATTGGGCTTCGGTGCGACGTTTCTCAAGGCAAATCAACAACCAGCATTGTATCAATGGTTGGTGAAGCTTCGTGGTGCCATATTGGCTAAATGTTCTCTATATTTCCACACTACTTTAAGTCAACAAGCTAGTCCAGGAGAAATGAGAAGTATTATGAGCAAGCAGAGTGTAGACTACTATCATAAGTAAGATACAGATATTATTTCATCACTCGCATGAGCTACACAAATTAACTCAAATTCTTTTAGGATACAGAGTTTTCAGCGAAAGTACGATATACTGGCGGTATTGATAATCTTTGATTCTAGAGAAATTGAAAATTCAGGTTCGGGATATAGGCATCCAGGAAGAGGAGCAAATTCGTCTGAGAGTTTTCCTGTTGTTGTTTGTTGTCCCAACGTAAATACAATTGCATTTTTTCATTTTCTTTTTTTTTTTATTAATATAAGCATATCGATATCAACAAATAATATTAATGTGCTTTTTTAATAATTAATATTTCTTTTAGACATTTATGCAGAAACCATCAGTACACTTGGACAATATTCAAACCAAAATAAAAGAACGACACACAGAACTTCTTATTATGGACAAAGTTATCCATCATAAAAGTATGAAGGTATGTCCAACAAAATATGAAATAATCTTGAAATAAATTGCAAATTAGAATGTTTATTATATTTAGAATGTTTTTTTTTTGTAGGACTTGTGTACATATTCTTTTTATAATACTGATCCCACAATGACTCTCGTGATCGTGTATGAAAACGGAAAACAGAAAGACAAAGAAACTCACATTACATCATTTATGACGGATCTCTCCTTACAAATTAGGTGTAATAAGATTTATGAATGTCTAAAATTGTCAAAATAAGTATCTCCAAAATAAATATACGAAAATATATTTACAAAAATATCTGATTATGCCAAAGATTTAATTATGTCGAAGTAAAAAAATTGTGATCGTATATTTATTAACATAATTATATATAAAAAAATAAAGGCAAAGCTTATTATTTATATAATTATATAAGTATAATTATTAAATATGATTAATATTACATATTCTCAAACAACACTGAAGATTTATTATATACTGATTTATTATGTACTGTTATATATTTAAATAATATATAATGAAAATGTGACATGTACAATTTTCTGTGATATTAAACTATGCATTTATTTATGTTTTAATATTATAATTTTATTATTATTATAATTATCTCTTTATGGTATATAAATTTATGCGTTTATTGTTTATTAAGTTGAGTGAGCTTATATTAAATTTTGTTCTACTTTTGCCTTATTATAAAATCAAAGATATAATAAGAAAACAATTATGATTTTCATAGTACACATAATTATTTCTTTAAGTATGTATCAATATAGTCTATATTCTTGTTGATTAAAATTTAATTATTTATATGTTAATTAGACAAATATAAACAAATTATGATTATCGATAATACTTTAATTATTGTTGATCTGTTAAAATGTAAATAGATCAGAATAATTCGTGCATTAACGATTACATGTATTTGTATTTTCAATAAATAAACAAGAAAGAAAAGAAAGCTTTTTAATTATCACATGATTACACACATATATATATGTAAATAATATTTCTAAAACTATAATAATTTATAAAATCAAAAATATTTAAAGAATTATATATAATATACATTCAGGCAAATTGAAAATATTGTTAATCGCATCTTTTTTTAAATAAATATCCCACGGGAAATACAAATGCGCAATAAATTTATCAAGTGAACTTCGTGCAATCGTAATATCCCTTGCATTGAATTTCCCCCAAATTTATTGAATGTTTAAATTAATATTTTGTTCGTTATTTGATAAATATGCAGTATAACGCTCTCTCCCCTCCTATTTTCTTGTAATTTTGTAAATTTATATATTTTTATGCGTAGAATATATTCTGAGAAAGAAAATCGTCGCTCAAGTCTCGTTTTTTTAAATTAAATTTTAAAAGTTTCTTGATATTGGTAAATCAGAAAATGAAAATTTAATATTATAATGTGATTAATTAAAATATTCTTTGCTTTAATTGATTGAATTGATTTTATTAAATGATTTAATTGATTGAAAACACATTTATGAATTAAATGATAAATTAAGTATAAAATGGAATATTCAGTTGAACGAATTAATAATAATCCTTGGCTTGCTACTATTCAAGACTTCTCAAAATATATTCTACGCATAAAAACCGCTACTCTCATGCTTCTCTTTTCTATAATCATTGTTTTTGAGATTTAAGAAACTTTTGATTTCATTAAGAGCAATTATTATAATCGATGGTTTAATAATCAATTTTGTAAAAATATATCTATAATCAATATTCAGAATTTTAAACATTTCTTATGATGATTATTTCTATAATTATTAATAACCATCGCTTCTGATAGATGGCGCTGTCATGCCAGCTGTTTGTTAAACGCGATCAGCTGAGTTTGCACGCGTCGCGTTCGCAGTCCTCGAGATTCGTACGTGATTTATTAAATATCATTTCGTTATACTCAGTATTGATCTGCGATCAATCTGCTTAAAATCGTGCGCGTTATTACTTCCTTTTACTCATTGGTGCAGCGATAAAGATAGAACAAAACACAGCGATCAGGAAAACGCAGGTTTTTGAAGGTTATGGTGCGACCAAACATCGTATGAGCGACTCTCGGATCAATTTGTAGAAATCAACGTCGTAAAAAGCAACGTTGAACTGATCTTCCCAATTTCCATGCGGAGATATCGTCGACGAGAATACAAATATGTGAGTAATATTTTTTATGTTCTCTTTTATTTTATTTCCCGGTAAAAAAATTTTTATTTTTAAGACTGAGCTCCAATATTGATAAAGCGCAATCACGCAAGATAATTTTATTATATTATATCGTAAAGTCTAACTAACTGATTGAGGAATTGAAGTTTTCTCTTGTTTTCTAATAAAATAAGACATTCTTTTCATTGTCTGTCCATATTAAGGTTAAGGACCTAAACGCAATGAATGGGAATAAGGAATAAGAAGTTATATATAAAGAATTAGAAACAGAAAATTATTTTCGATCAAAGAAAGAACATCTTGTTATTCCTTGAATGTATATTGAAACATGGTTTCCCACATGTCGAAATTTAATTCTGTATCTCTAATTCTCTGTCTCTTAATTCTTTGCTCCTTATTTCTTTCATTGTATCAAAGCCCTAATTTGTAAGTGGAAGTTTTGGAGTTACTATTTAAAAAAATAAGCGTTTTGATAGCAATCTTTGATTGTGTTTAAAAAATACAAAGGTTTTTTTCTATAGGTTTTTATCTCTTATCATCTGAGTTTTAATCCTTTTGCTTTCATATCAGATATTTCTGGTAGGATAATGATAAATTGAAATAACTGATATTAAATATAATTTTAGAAATCTTTTTTATTAATTGCAAATTTTCCAATAAAATTGTATTTCATAATAAATAAAATAATTAATTTTTGTCATGAGTGCACAGTCCTGTAACAATAATTATATTATGGATGTGACACAAAAAAAATTAACTAAATCAAGACAAATGTTCTTATATATAAATAACAATATTATAATCTTAAAAATTTTAAGTTTAAAATGATAGTTATCTCTGTACAATGTAGAAAATTAACCTGTATGAAGATAGCCCCCCAACATTGAAAAACATAAAGTTTCTATAGCTCATTCGATTGCTCATCGTTTGCACATGTATGCACATTTCGAATTTTCGTTTGCACACTTCTAGTAAAAAAGTTATTAACAAAACAAATTTCGGGGGGCCATCTTCACACTAGCTCCCCAACTATGAATAAATTAAATAAAAAATAGCTCAATTGATATTCGTTTGCACATTGCCAAACAGGTCGATTTTTCGTTTGCACACCTCTAGTTAAAAAGTTATTAACAATTAAAGTTTCAGAAACGAGCGACTTTCGCGAGTTTCGAATTTTTTCAGTTATTACAAGATATAACGTTTAGGTACAGATATTAAAGATGAGCGAGAACATGCAATAGATTTATGAGAAATAAACAAGAACCGAATATGAATGAAAACGCCACAACTTTTCGATTGATATCATTTTAAGCACAATATTTTTGTTTTCACCTCATCTATCGAACTCGCTCATTTCTGAAACTTTAATTGTTAATAACTTTTTAACTAGAGGTGTGCAAACGAAAAATCGACCTGTTTGGCAATGTGCAAACGAATATCTATCGATTGGGTCTATTTAAATTAAGTATCTTTGGAATTCATCCAGAAAACGAATTTTTTTATGTAGAACTGCCGCTCCCCAAGACTTTGTTTGTTAATAACTAGAAGTATGCAAACAAAAATTCGAGCTGTTTGGGAAAGTGCAAACAAAACTCTATCGAATGATACCATTTTAAGCACAACATTTTTGTTTCTATCTCATCTACCGAAGTCGCTCGCTTCTGAAACTTTAATTGTTAATAACTTTTTAACTAGAGATATGCAAACGAAAAATCGACCTGTTTGGCAATGTGCAAACGAATATCTATCGATTGGTTCTATTTTGAATCGTATATCTTCGGAATTCATCCTGAAAACGAATTTTTTTATGTAGAACTGCCGCTCCCCAAGACTTTGTTTATTAATAACTTCTTAACTAGGAGTGTGCAAACGAAAATTCGAAATGTGCATACACGTGCAAACGATAAGCAATCGAATGAGCTACAGAAACTTTATGTTTTTCAATGTTGGGGGGGCAATCTTCACACAGGTTATACTTCCCACGTAGTTTTTCCCCATATACTTCCCACATAATTTTTCCCATATACTTCCCGCATAGTTTTTCCCATATACTTTCTACATAATTTTTCCTATATACTTCCCGCATAGTTTTTCCCATATACTTCCCACATAGTTCTTCCCATATACTTCCCACATAGTTTTTCCCATCTTCTTCCCACATAGTTTTTCCCATCCAGTCCCCACATAGTTTTTCCCATCTAGTTCCCACATAGTTTTTCCCATCTAACGTCCACATAGTTTATCCCATGTAGTTCCCACTTAGTTTTTCCCA